CAAACACTTTTTAATATTGTTAAAGGAAAAACATTGTGGGTGTCCCCTAGGCAAATGTTTCAAGCGTTTAAGCTCCTTAAGTGGACCTATCCATAAAATCAACACTTTGCATGAACAAACAGAATACTTTTCAGCATTAACGAAATCATATTATTTTAGGTATATGCATCTCTTATTTGCTATGAATAAGAAAACAATGGTCCTGCGCAACCTAAAGTCTAAGTAAAACAGATTGTATGCGCTCTTGATACCAGAAAAATTAAGAGTGCTTCACACCCTTAAGCCAGCCATAGATGGAGCGATTTTCTTTCTTGTGACCACGGGTTAATGTTGATGGGGAAAATCACTCCCCCTTGTGTTCTCCCAGGAGGGGAGAGCACAGTGATTACTGCTACACACACACCAATATCTCCAATCCAGAAGACTGTCATAACCGCAGAGAGTGGGGGAAATTCAATATTAATATCATGATGGTGGAATGCAACGTCAAACAGGCTCATCAAGCACACAGTTCCTTACCATTTTTTTTTTTTTTTTTTTAGGATTTGTATAAGCTCATATAGTTGCGATGGTCATGTAGCCACAAACTTTTAGCCATATAGTAGAATTACAAACTACATACAGAAAACATTTTGGTAAATAAACAAATATTTTCATATCAGGCTTTTTCACATTAATAAAAAAAAAAGTCTACAGTATTCAAAGAAATTTAACACATCTGAAAACCATTTTATCATGATTTTCATTTTATAAATGCTTACAATTATATATTTATATTTAGGGTTTAGCCACTGGAAGGCATAGCTTTTTGTACATATGTTGAAGAAAGGAGTAATAGTAGGAATCAAGAATATACTATTCCACAAACCCTGGAGAAACTCTTGTAAGGTACCAGCAGTAATTTTTTAGGCCCACTGACTACCAGGTTCGTAGTAATTGTCCAGGTCTGGATTAAAAGGCTGATTATTTTGGGGAAGCCACCTCACTGAATTTCTACATTACATTATGGATCACAAACTACAGGAGGAGGTAGAGGTTTAGTGCTGATTATAGCATGCTAGGATTTTGTGCTCACATCATGCAACAGGCTGCGCATGAAATAATGCTTTGCAAGATCTTACATATAAAAAGTGTCTAAAATGATTGCTTTCTGACATTTAAGGTTTCTAGTATGAATTACGAATGTTCAAGGAAATCATTTAGTCAGCTGGTTATAAAGCTGTTTCAATAATTTATCTTACTACTCGAATGAAAAACGTCCTCATTGTGATCTTTCTATCGGATGACAGCAGTGCTCCATAAATCTAATTAAAAAGAAAGACTGCTGAGCAGAGTCTCATTAGAGACCTGCAGATACACTAAGGACAAAAGTATGAGAGGTAATGAAGACATCCAGGTTAGAACAAAAAATTATTTTAAAAAGTTCAATACATGCCCTGATAAACAAAGATGTGCAGATCTCTCCCCACAGTAAATGCCTCAAATACTTATGCACTCCAGCGCAGGTCAAGTACAGGTAGATGCTCGTTTTTGTCTGGGGTACCAGTAAAATGGACTTTTAGTTACTTAAAGCAAAGCTTCACCCAAAAGGGGAAGTTCCGCTTTAAGGCCTCCTCCCCCACTCCTGCTAAAGAAATTGCACCTGGGGGGAGCAGGTACCTGATTTTGATAGGTACCCACTCCCACTTCGATCCACTGAAAGCAGAAATCCCACCCCTCCAGTCTTCTGGGACACATGACAGGTCCCAGAAGATTATGGGACTATTCAGAAGGCACAGCGTGGTTCGCGCATGCGCAGTGGATACCGCACGCTGTCACAGCCAGGTACCCACATTTAACATGCTGGGACAGAAGAACGGAGATAAAAAACGGCTGGTGTGAACACCGCTGGATCATGGGACAGGTGAGGGACTGTTTATTAAAAGTCAGAAACTACAGTTTTTGTAGCAGTTGACTATTCATTTTTACACATGAGACTGGAGCTCCTCTTTAAATCCTTACTCCGTTCATGCTATAAGACTGATCCCTGTAGCCTCTTCTCTAAAGTGCTCCAGCAGTCACAGGTACTTTGACCAATAGCCCTGCATTGTAGGTAAGGATGCAGAGGGGCTGTTCATGACCCGGAGATTAGAGAAGAGGACAGTGCCAACTGCTGGGAGTGTGAAGGATTTGAAAAGTCCTTTTTTTACTGGTACCCTAAGCATAAATTAGCATCTAATCCATGCAGAGGAAAGGTGGGGCTGCAAGGGTGGCTTTAATACAGCCTGATGCAGACACGCTATCCCAATGCAAAACTGACACTTAAAGCGGAGTTCCACTCACACTGTCAAAAAATAAAAGTCAGCAGCTACAAAAAACTGTAGCAGCTTACTTTTAAAAAAAAAAACAGCCACTTACCTGTCCCTTGGTCCTGCATTGTGTCCCTTGCAGCCCGTTTCACCGGCTGCCCTGTCAAATTTGGGTACCTGCTCCCCCCCGCCCTCCAAAGATGCCAATGCTTAATCGGGAGCTGGGGAGCAGTCCTTAAAGCGGAAGTTCCCCTTTTGGGTGGAGCTCCGCTTTAAGTTTGGGCACCAGGACTGAAACATCATTCCTCGATATAAATGCTGAATACTGCTTTAAAGATTTTGCTCTTAATAGTTGGGTAGGTGGAACTAAAGATTAAGTAGCAGAAATTTTGGTGCCAAACACTTTAAAAGAAAAAAGCAGTGGTTAGCTTAACTTTACAGCATCCATCCAAACCTGAAATGCCAGAATTTACACTGATACTTTCATTAAAGCTGAATCCTGGAAAAGTACCTTCCTTGCAGTGGGGTGTGCCCACACTGCAAGGGTTAACTGCTTATTTATTTCGAGTGGGACCAAGTAACCAGTTTTGCTTACCTGATCCTCCATGCTGCTAGACTGGTCCCTTTCTTCTCCCCTGCACTCCAGCAGCTGGAGGTCTCCGAAGTCCTCAAGACCAATGCAGGGACCAAAGCCCTGCATTGGACACAAGAACCCAGAGGAACAGTTCACTGCCAAAGCACAGGGAAACTCCACCAGCTGGTAAGCAGAGGTTCAGGTAGGTAAAAATGCTTTTTTTTTTGCCCCCCAGACTATGGTGATGCAAAGGGCTGTAAAGGGCACTGCTATGGGGGGGGGGGGGGGGGGGGGAGAGAGAGAGGGCCACCTCCACCCCCATAGCAGTGTCCTCTACTGCTCTTTGCATCACAGAAAGAAAGAACAGGCAGGTTCATACCAAACCACTGCACTACAGACCACATCCACACCCTGCACAGTCTCATCAAGGACAATGTCCACAATACAAAACATAGAGAGATATTTGCCTGTTTTTTGGACTTTAAGAAGGCCTTTGACTATGTTTGGCACCCAGGCCTGTTCCTGAAACTATTAGAGTGGAATAGGAGGGAAAACATATGACGTCATCAAGAGTTCATATACCGAGAACAGCTGCAGTGCAAAAGGTGAACAGGAAAAGAACAGAGCACTTCTGCCAGGCCCGTGGAGTCAGACAGGGCTGCAGCCTAAGTCCAACCCTCTTCAACATCTACATCAATGAACTGGTTGCAGCTCTAGAATCCTCCCCAGTACCTGGACTGACTCTACTGTGACACCGAGTTGAAGTTCCTGCTGTATGCGGATGATCTCTTACTACTGTCACCAACAAGGAAAGGCCTACAAGACCGCCTGGAAGTGCTGGAGAAATACAGTGCCATATGGGCACCACCTATCAATTCAAAGAAAACAAAAATCATGGTGTTCCAAAGGAAGAACACAAAACAAACTAGGAGCCCTTCCTTTACATTAAACAATGCACTCTTGATGAATCCCACAGCTACACATAACTTGGCCTAGATATTAGCTAATCGGGATGTTCCAAGCCAGCCATAGAGGCCCAAAGACAAGGCATGCAGAGCCTTCTACGCCATCAGGAGACAGCTGTACCACCTAAAACCACCAGTAAAAAAATGGCTTAAAATCTTTGATAGCATTAGCACCCCAATCCGTCTTTATGGCAGTGAAGTTTGGGGTTCTGTCACCTACCCAGACCAATCCAAATGGGACTCCATCCCGCCAGAAATATATTTCACATGGAGATCTGCAAGCACCTCCTCCAAGTCCATCGGAGCACCTCCAACAGTGCTTGCCGGTCTGAGCTGGCAGATTTCCTTTGCTTCTCACAGTACAGAAGAGGGCGCTATCATACTGGGGCCATCTACAAAACAGCAGACCTAACTCATACCACCATAAGGCCCTACTGATCAATAAGGACCAGTCAAAGCTATGTGGCCTGCAACAACTCATCAGCATCTTGGGTATCCCAAATGCCCAACTATTTGGCCTGACAAAATCTCAAATAAAAAACATAATGAATGATTCCCAAGAAAAATAGGCTGCGAAATGGAGAAATGATATAGCAAACTCAAATAAACTGTTTACCAATCACTGCAGAGAGACTACAAACTGGCCCCATACCTGGAGGTGCCATAAGACCCCAAAGACAGACAGACCCTGAGCCGGTACAAACTGAGTGCCCATGACCTTGACATCGAATCCGGATGGCACAGACAGACCTATAAGCCCAGGGAGAGTAGACTGTGCCATCAATGTGACCAGGGAGTCCTGGAGGACGAGGACCATTTCCTACTACAGTGCTCCAAGTACTCATCAGTGAGGGACACTCACTTCCAGAGACTCTCCACTCTCATCATGGACTTCACTTCTATAGAAGAGAGGAGGAAACTCCAAGTTCTACTGGGAGAAGAGGAGCAAATGACGAAAATAGCTGCACAATATATGTGACAGCATGCCACAGACAGAGGGACATGAAAAACTGAGGACTTAAAAAAAAAAACTTTACATGGACCCTTCCCCCATCCCCCTTTATATTACCCCCCCCCCACCTTTTCCCATACAAACTGCTTTGAGAGAGAGAGAGAGAGAGAGAGAGAGAGAGAGACAGACAGACAGAAAAGCAGCAAAATACGCTCAGCCAATTATTTTAAAAAAAGATTAACACATACCGCAGTGTCATCCTCTCTGTAGACTTTAATAGTTTTGTCTGCTTCGGCAGTGATCAATCTGCTCTCTGACTGGTCAAACGTGCATGCAAATATACCAGATTCACTGTCTAGAGAGCCTGGTTGGACAGCAGCGTGAATTCTCTGGAAATTGTAACCTGTCCTCCAGTCCCACAAATGCATTGTTCCATTATCAGCTGCAGAGCAAAAATGAAAGGTGTCAGACAGAAACCACACCTCGCACAGTCATTGACCTAAAGTGTTTCTTATCTCTAAAGGAAAATCAGCAGAAACAAGTTTCTTACCTCCTGACACCAGTACACCATCAGAGTTCACTGCCAAAGTGTTGATTATAGCATTGTGGCCAGAAAGGTTTTGGATAAAATTTCCATCAGGGAATTTCCACTGCTTAATATTGTCCGGTGACCCAGATGCAAATGTGTACCTAGAATAAAAGCCAAGATGGTGAAGCGTGCAAACGTAACAGATAATTTTGGAATTGACTGTGCGGCACAAAACACAGTTGTGCTGACTTTAGCGACAAGATGAGAACTGCAGCAGTGGCACTTATTGTATCACGTAACTAGATTCTGTGAACGTAAATCTATTTTGGGCTCCTCTGAAGGCCAGTTGTCAGGATACTGCAGGAAAAAAAAATGTTTCAGTAAAGAAACTATTACTGGTCTTTTTCAGCTATATTTCTTCTGCTTTTTTGCCTTTTAGTCACACTTCATTACAGCCCAGGCAAACAAAATATTTCATTATGGACTACGAAGTACTCGATTCTCTGAAGCTCTATGATAATACTGGCCACAAAATTTTATTCCTTGGAAAAAAAGAAACCAACGCCATAATGTTTCACTAAACTTTCAGAGGGTCACTGAATACAAACTGGTGTAACAGAGTAATACATCCTGAACATTCCGAAGAATATCTATATAATAGGATATAAAGCGCTTGCCTTCTGATCTGTGCCGAAAGGTGGATGATGCATTGTTAAGGCTCCATGCACACTGGGTGTTTTAATAATTCTGATAACGTAGCTGTGTAAAGTCACATTAAAAACGTGAGCTTTTCAGCATTTTTGTATTAGTGTTTAGCACTGTTCTTTTTTTATACAAAAACAATTTTTTTTTTTTATTCAAAAAAAGTCCAAAAATGCTGGTTTGCCAAGATTTACCACGTTTTTCAGTTAGAGCATTTTTCTAGCTAAAAAACTCCTTCAGAAGCCCATTAGTCCTGGGTTTTTTTTCCAGCCAAAAAACATTGATTACAGTCTATGTGTGCACGGACACATAGGATAACATGATGGGGAGTTTACTAGCTATAGAAAAACGTCAAAAGCCAAAAACAGCAGCTATAAAAAAAAAAAGTCCAGTGTGCATGAGGAATTGCAGTTCTTTATACCAGGCTTGTAATGATTAGCATGAAAAGATACATTATGATCAACAGCTAAAAACATTTGTTTGTGAGAGAATGCTTGAAATTAACAGGCGCATATGTATCTGCATTGCACAACAGAAAACAAAAAAGCAACTAACACAAAAACAATTTCAAAAGCCCTGAATTTTACACATCTTTTCTTTATACAAAGTCAAAATTTGTTAAGCACATACAGACCCCATGGCTGAACAGCTCTTGAAAGTCAGCAAGGCAAGGTATAGTGCACAAGGAAGTGGGGTTTTAGGGCCACACAGTTATATATACAGTATCACGGAAGTGAGTACACCCCTCACATTTTTGCGAATATTTTTTTCTATCTTACTGTGACAACACTGAAGAAATGACACTTTGCTACAATGTAAAGTAGTGAGTGTACAGCTTGTATAACAGTGTAAATTTGCTGTCCCCTCAAAATAACCCAACACACAGCTATTAATGTCTAAACCGCTGGCAACAAAAGTGAGTACACCCCTAAGTGAAAATGTCCAAATTGGGCCCAAAGTGTCAATATTTTGTGTGGCCACCATTATTTTCCAGCCCTGCCTTAACCCTCTTGGGCATGCAGTTCACCAGAGCTTCACAGGTTACCACTGGAGTCCGCTTCCACTCCTCCATGACAACATCATGGAGCTGGTGGATGTTAGAGACCCAGTCTTCAAAGGGAGGGGATCATGCTCTGCTTCAGTATGTCACAGTACATGTTGGCATTCATGGTTCCCTCAACGAACTGTAGCTCTCCAGTGCCGGCAGCACTCATGCAGCCCCAGACCATGACACTCACACCACCATTCTTAACTGTAGGCAAGACACACTTGTCTTTGTACTCCTCACCTGTTGCTGCTACACACGCTTGACACCATCTGAACAAAATAAGTTTATCTTGGTCTCATCAGACCACAGGACATGGTTCCAGTAATCCATGTCCTTAGTCTGCTTGTCTTCAGCAAACTGTTTGCAGGCTTTCTTGTGCATCATCATTAGAAGAGGCTTCCTTCTGGGATGACAGCCATGCAGACCAATTTGATGCAGTGTATGGCGTATGGTCTGAGCACTGACAGGCTGACCCCTCCCCCCCCCCCCCCCTTCAATCTCTGCAGCAATGCTGGCAGAACTCATACAGCTATTTCCCAAAGACAACCTCTGGATATGACACTGAGCATGTGCACTCAACTTCTTTGGTCAACCATGGCAAGACCTGTTCTGAGTGGAACCTGTCCTGTTAAACTGCTGTATGGTCTTGGCCACCATGCTGCAGCTCAGTTTCAGGGTCTTGGCAATCTTCTTACAGCCCAGGCCATCTTTGTTGAGCAACAATTCTTCTTTCAGATCCTCAGAATTCTTTGTCATGAGGTGCTGTTTTGAACTTCCAGTGACCAGTATGAAAGAATAAGAGCGTTAACACCAAATTTAACACACCTGCTCCCCATTCACACCTGAGACCTTGCAATACTAATGAGTCACATGACACCTGGAAGGGAAAATGGCTAATTGGACCCAATTTGGACATTTTCACTTAGGGGTGTACTCACTTTTGTTGCCAGCGGTTTAGACATTAATAGCTGTGTGTTGCGTTATTTTGAAGGGACAGCAAATTTACACTGTTATACGAGCTGTAAACTCACCACTTTACATAGTAGCAAAGTGTTATTTCTTCAGTGTTGTCACATGAAAAGATATAATAAAATATTTACAAAAATGTGAGGGATGTACTCACTTCTGTGTGATACTATATATAGGGGCCAAAAACCTGATGGTGAGAAAATTTTCATCCAAAGTGAAGAGCACTGTAAGTTGATAACAAAGGTGTTTTACTTAGAGGCTAGCAATAGGTAAAGTGAATTTCCACTATGACATTGTGAAGTAGGATATGTTGTACAAGATCGGATACTGAAGAATTACACTTACTGTCGTGGATGTAATACAACAGCTCTGACAGATTTTTTGTGGTTTGTCAAAGTGACACGAGTCTTTCCACCAACCATATCCCAAAGCCGAATGGTGGTATCGTGGCTTCCTGGAAAAAAAAAATGAAATAGAAGTGCAATAAGAAATCAAAGAAAAAGAAAAGGCCGAATACAAATTTCGCTTCTTTAAAAAAAAAGAGGAAAACGGTAAAATCACAAGATTAAGTAAAAAAAACTTGTGACAAAATATTCAGTAGTAGAGATACACAATACATAAATAATTTAAAAGGTAGAGACACATTTACGCATATTTCCATTACCAGTCAAAATTGCCCCTTCCCCACACCCCAGCAATATCTTGTACATAAAAAAAATCAGAGATTTAGGAAAATGATGAGGCAACTCCTTAGAACTGCCCTGTATTGAAAGCTCTAAAACAGCCTGTGTTGGCCGTAGAGGTGCTCAGCCATAAATGAACTGCCATACAGCATTTAATTCATGTCAGATTGTCAGAACTGCCCTAGGCAACAAACATCCACCTTAAAAGATCCAGCACCTTTACTCATAAAGGAATACGTTTGCGTGTAAACTGTGATTAAATCCAGATAAAACTAGCAGACTCATTGAAGACGGCAGTGGAAAAAAGAAATAATGATGTGGAAAGTTCAATGCCCTATAGAAGCCAAAATTTCAGTTTACCATAGCTTGGTCAGTAAAAAGTAAAATCTGGTTGCTATGGGTTGCTGAACTTCATTATATATATATATATATATATATATATATATATATATATATATATATATAATCACCATTACTGCTCCTCACTATTTGTTACTAAAGTCCACATGTCTAAAAGAAGCTGGATTGCTTGCACGATAGACATGGGCATGTGATGGCTGGCCATTGAAATGCTGCAGAAACAGTAAAAAAAAAAAAAACCTAACTACTTCACTACTGCCTTACATGTAGGGACAGTGGAGTGGTAAACATGTACTTCTGGAGTGCCGCTTATAGGGCTATTTTATAAACTTGCCTCCTGTCTTGTACATCTCATCTACATACTTTATCGGTGATCTGTAATTAACTCCTTCATCTTCCTTGTACTGCACCTCAACCCCCTCAATTCCATTCTCCCCCTGTACATTAACCCCTTCACTGACCCCATGTGTATGTCCTATACACTTCAATACCAGCATGTTTTTTCACTTACAAAACATTTCTGGCTAAAAAGAACACCTTTGTGTGTACTTTCCAAAAAAGGATCATTTGGGGTTTTTTTGGGCCTTAGATTTTTATTTGAAACATTTATAAGAGAAATTATGGAAAACCATTTTTTGATAAAAAAAAAAAAAATCTAGTGGTTAATAAATACCACCAAATTACCTTCAAAAGAAAGCTATCTGTACCTAAATAGATTTTATGTCATTTTGCTAAGACAAAGTTGCATGGCGGAGTAATTTTTCAACTATTGCAGCATTGAAAATGAATAATGAAACAGGTGGAAAATGCTAGTACTCGTATGGTTAAATAAAGGCATTGTCTAATGAGAAGATTGAGAACTCCAAAAAAACCTGTTCTGTTATCAGAAGCTACAAATATGTACAGCAGATGTAGAGCAGCTGAAATTAACAAAGACCAAACATGATGTGCCGGCAAACAGTGTCTACTGTTACAAAGCAGCAAGCTTTACAGTCAGCAGACTTCACACAGTAACACCTTCACAGGCGCACTGCATCAAAAGCTAAAGAAAGACTTGCACACAAATAAGCCTGGGTTAGCATTCCCTTTTACAAGAGTATTTATTGTACAATGTTTCTATTTCTTCGAGGTCAGCTTGCTTCCTTTTTTATCATTTGATTTGTTTTTTTGCTTTTTCAGTACAGGTATTAGCTGGACAGCAGCTAAATTTTGCCATAACCAATGACAATATTATGTGACTGTAATTTAGAAAGGCCATACATAGCTTCAGTCCTCAATTCCTTTAGTAGGAAAAAACTCCACTTTCCTTAACAAGCCTACAGGGCACTTATACCCCCTTCCTGCCCAGGCCAATTTCCAGCTTTTAGCGCTGTTGTACTTTGAATGACAATTGCGCGGGTCATACAACACTGTACCCATATGAAATTTTTATCATTTTTTTTTGTGACAGATAGAGCTTTATTTTGGTGGTATTTAATCAACTCTGGGTTTTTTATTTTTTTCTTAAACACAAAAACCACTGAAAATTTTGAAAAAAAAAAACCAAAACGTTTTTTCTTAGTTTTTGTTATAAAATTTTGTAAATAAGTGATTTTTCTCCTTCACTGATGTGCGCTAATGAGGCTGCAGAGATGGGCACTGATGGACACTGATAGGTGGCACTGACGAAGAGGCACTGATGGACATTGACAGGCATCACTGATGGGCACTGAAAGGCAGCACTGATATATGGCACTGATAGGCGGCACTGACTGGCACTGATGGGTGACACTGAAAGGCAGCTCAAATGGGCACTGATATGTGGCATTGATGTGCACTGGCAGGCACTGATATGTGGCACTGATGGGCACTGGCACGTGGCACTGATATGTGGCACTGGCACGTGGCACTGATGAGCACTGATGGACACTGACAGGTGGCACTGCTGGGGCTACACTGATCATCAGTGCTCTGATGATCAGTGTACATGTCCCCTCCGCGGAATGCCGATTACTAGCTCTCCTCTCCTCTCAAGCTGTCAGGGGACGAGGGCGCATTCTTTGAGGACGTCATATGACGCCTCCCAGGACTGGAGAACTGCACTGTAGCCGTCATTCGGCTACAGTGCAGTTGGCAAGTGGATAAAGAATATGTAAACCCAACAGTTATTATTCCCGATATGTGCCTGCTGTTCCATATACTTGTATGAAAAAAGTATCCTGATCTCTTTGTATAGCTTTCTTTGTAGGAAATACCTGGCATTCCTGCCAATCTCCTCATGCTTTCCTATTAGAAACTGACCACATTCGGTAGCGTGATCAGTTTTCTGGCTGTGCTGGGAGCAAAACCAATGATCAGACATGTCCCCTGGAATGTTGTGGGGATGCTTTTCTTTAGCAGGGACAGGTAAGCTGGTCAGATTTAATGGGAAGATGGATGGAATCAAATACAGGACAATCTTAGAAAAAAAACTTTAAGAGTCTGCAAAAGACTCGAGACTGGGGCAGAGGTTCACCTTCCAGCAGAACAACGACCCTAAGCATAAAGCCAGTGCTACAATGGAATGGTTTAGATCAAATCATATTCATGCGTCGGAATACCCAGTCAAAGTCCAGACCTAAATCCAATTGAGAATCTGTGGCAAGACTTGAAAATTGCTGTTCACAGACGCTCTCCATCCAATCTGACAGAGCTTTAACTATTTTGCAAAGAAGAATGGGCAAAAATTTCACTCTCTAGATGTGCAAAGCTGGTAGACATACCCAAAAAGACTTGCATCTGTAATTGCAGCGAAAGGTGGTTCTACAAACTATTGACTCAGGGGGGCTGATTACAAATGCACGCCACACTTTTCAGATATTTGTAAAAAATCAGTACTGCTTTATTTGACAAAATGTCACATATAGACCATAATATTAAAAACCTATTTGGTATTTCATAGTCTATATGTGACATATTGGTCAAATAAAGCAATATTGATTTTATTTATACTTGTACCTGGTCTTTGTGCCTATAAAGTCCATTTGTAGTATTTCTGCTTCTTCAGGCTAGTCAAAATTAGAATGTGGTACTGGTGTATATATTAGGAGTGACCCTTCACCCGAGGGCACCCCAACCCCCTTTTTATTCAACTATTTGCAAAAAATGTTGAAAACCATTTATCATTTTCCTTCCACTTCACAATTATGTACCACTTTGTGTTGGTCTTTCACATAAAATCCCAATAAAATACATTTACACTTTTGGTTGTAACATGACAAAATGTGGAAAATTTCAAGGGGTATGAATACTTTTTCAAGGCACTGTATGTGCCTCCCGGGCACCCAAAAAACACCTATTTGATGTTGTACTGGCCAAACTGCCCATATGCATAAGACCTTAAAGTTACTGCTGCACTGAAAATTCTGATTTTAAAGGATTATGGATTACATTTGTGATGCTACATTGTTAAAAATAGTTAAGCCTAAGCAAGTACCACAAAAAAAGCAAATATAATAAACTGAAGGTATGTAAATGAATGCTAAAATTTCAGAGTACCCATATAACTCCAATGAATAAGAACCTTCTCTTTACCAAATGAAGGTTTTTGCCATGACTTACCTGTAATGATCTGTGGTTCTGCAGCCTGGCACCTTACTGTTGCAACAGCATTTGTGTGTCCAACAAGAGTGTGAACCCCAGCTTTGGTTCTTATGTCCCAGATCTGTTCAGAATAGGAAAAATAGTAAGGTGATGATGTGCATTGCGACAATAAAAGGCATATCTGTGGTAACCACAATGTTGTCATTTAGTATAAAAGATAAGTATCCACTACTTACACGAGCAGTTGAGTCTCTGCTACAAGTCACAAGCACATCAATGGTGGGATGCAAATCCAAACCATACACTGCACTGAGGTGACCGTGGTAATGCCTTATGACCTAATATGAACAAAACAAAATACAGGATGATATTTGAAATCTGCTTGCGCTCCTATGTAAAAAACAATTAATACACGTGTGAAGCTGCTGACATCTGATCCAATACCCCAAGATCAAACGAAATGCAGAAGATAATATAGAATGATGTAGCGCTAAAACACACAATTATAGCATCAGTACCTTAGGACATATAGCATAATGATGGGATCCTGTATAAACGTGAAGAGGAAATACATATATGTGCGTGATGATACTAAACAAGATAAAGATGGAAAACAGATGTGCAACCCCTGCACATAGTGCACATATATAAATATAAAGTCCAGTGATCCTGTATCAATAATCTCCACTCAAACAGAGTCCATGGACTGTATGTGGGCCCACACACCACCACGTGCAATCCAAAACCAGCTGAAATGGCCTCTCACCTCCTCCCTGCGACCCTGCAGGGCCACAGAGCTTTAACAGATCCCCACTGAATCAAGGTATGCTTCCTCTTGAGTGGATGGCTTCTTTAGTGTATCCCCAGTATACAGCTTCCACCTCTCCTATAGTATCCTCCGAGGTAAGCTGAGCAGGATGGACCCCAGCTCAAGCCCCAATAGGATAAAGGAAGCAAAAGACATCCTCCTTAGTGTAAAACCGTTTTAATAAATGCCAGGAAATAAATGTATAGTACACTCACATTTGCCAGATGAAATGCAGGCTGTTTCCCATACCAGGACTGAGTCCTGATGAAGTCACGGGGTCACGTGACGCAACGCGTCGACGGCAATACGTGGTGACGCACTTCCGGCGCGGCGTGGCGCCATCTTGGTACACCTTTCAGCCACACGCTTACACCCATGGTATGGGAAACAGCCTGCATTTCATCTGGCAAATGTGAGTGTACTATACATTTATTTCCTGGCATTTATTAAAACGGTTTTACACTATGGAGGATGTCTTTTGCTTCCTTTATCCTATTGGGGCTTGAGCTGGGGTCCATCCTGCTCAGCTTACCTCGGAGGATACTACAGGAGAGGTGGAAGCTGTATACTGGGGATACACTAAAGAAGCCATCCACTCAAGAGGAAGCATACCTTGATTCAGTGGGGATCTGTTAAAGCTCTGTGGCCCTGCAGGGTCGCAGGGAGGAGGTGAGAGGCCATTTCAGCTGGTTTTGGATTGCACGTGGTGGTGTGTGCCTGGCCCACATACAGTCCATGGACTCTGTTTGAGTGGAGATTATTGATACAGGATCACTGGACTTTATATTTATATATGTGCACTATGTGCAGGGGTTGCACATCTGTTTTCCATCTTTATCTTGTTTAGTATCATCACGCACATATATGTATTTCCTCTTCACGTTTTATACAGGATCCATCATTATGCTATATGTCCTAAGGTACTGATGCTATAAAAAACAAAATACAGGTTGATATATAAAATGCATGTAATTGTAAAGATCTGTTGGGTAAATTGGTTGCAATATTAAATGGAGGCATGTTTTCAAGTTACAAAATACAAAGGATACAGCTAACATGTCAAAGTGATCTATCATACATCACAAAGTGGTAGAGTCGTATCCCGGTTTTACAGTGAAATTGGCTTATTATTGTAAGCTACAGAGTTATTTTGGATAAAGCAGTGAATGTGACATCTCCCAATAAACATTTACTGCATGTGTATCTTCCCAGTCCATGTATTTTAAATCCGGTGGGGCTTTTGGATGTGACATCACGACGTTCGGCGAACTGTTGGCATCTGTGTTGTTTTTACTGTGAACGATGTTTATGCTGGTGTCGGCTCAGACACCATTTATTGTAAGTGCGATATGTTTTAAATAATTTCCTTTTTTTTACATTGCTACACTATTTTCTCCTCTCTTGCTTTCTGAGTCCATTCAGAGTTTGAGAAGATGTGTATGCCACTCTGAATTGTCCCATATATGCTGGTATTCATCTGCAGAGCATTGCTCCCAGAGTAGAAGCATTTGTGCTGGTTTAAAACCTGACCATCATGTTGCTCTGGTGAGTTTATTCAATTTATTTGGTGGTGGTGGATTTGAGCATGGGTGTTTTGTGTTTTCACATGAAGATTAATTGAAGATTTTTAGCACATTTTTTTGGTGTTGGACATTTAACACTATATTTGATACAAAGGACTTTTTTGTGATTTAGATCAATTCAAAATAATAACATAATGTTTTGTTGTTGATGTTTAACTATCTTACTTGGTGATTAATAAGCGCAAACCTTTTTTTATTAATTTATATGCACACCTTGTGAGGGTTAGGTTATGCTGCTTTATATATTTTGATATACATATATCATTTATAATTTTTATTTAATTTTTCGAGTAGTTGAATATTTTTGGCGCTGTCCATATTCTGAATATTACATACAATATTTTAAATCCGTGACTGATTCACCTGCAGTAAATTTCTGATGAATCTCACGTTCACTGCTTTATAAAATATGCCATTGAAAGCTTGACATTTTTTACTCTTAAGAGATTAAAGCAGACCTTGCACCTGAAAAGTTCTGCTTTTTAAACATGGTCCCATTCCAAGTTAGTACAAAACTCACTTAGAAGGCTATCCTGCACTGTTAAGATTTGGAGCACTCAGCATTCCCTGGGATCTCGATTGGGGAAAAAAACAGTGTCACCCCGTGCTACATGGAAACTGAGGAAATATATATTTTTGCTCCCTACAAGTGTTTTTTCTACATTTTATTTAGCATTTCAACAACAAGGAAATGCCTATTTAATGTATTTTTTAATATTCCTAATGTTTTAGCTATAGATTTATTCATGGTAGAAGTTGTGTCTTAAAAATTACAATATAGAGTATGTTTTTAAAACTGTGCAGTTTGAATATTACAAACATTTACTGCACGCGAATATTGGTGGACAATGTATTCTTTCAATCAATTTATTAGATAAGTTTGTTAAGTGCCACTTCACATATATGCAGATTTGAACCGCATCCGATCCGCATGACATGTGAAATAACGTTGCTTCCTATGGTGCCTGTTCACATATGTGCGGTGCACTGGCAGTGAGGATTCAGTGCGGATTAAAAAAGAGTTCCGTCTGATTTCTGAGCAGTGTGGTCCAGTTCATGAGCAGATTACAGGCTACTGACGTCTATGGGAACCGATTCTAAACCGCATGTCATCAGTTGTGAACAGGATTGCAGTTCAGGATCAGATTTCAGCACAGTTTGCTGAAATCCTGAGAGCCTGGTTACTATAAAGATGAGGAAAATAAGTTATTTCATACACAATCAAGTTTCAAAACCTCTCAAGTTTCAGGAGTTCAGAGTAGTTGTCATTCCTCAAAAGCATTGTAAATAATGTATAGCCTGCATATTGAAGATGGGCTTTGGTTTTTGTCCTTAAAGTATCTAGCATACATATTGTTGGCAATTTCACCTGAAAGGCTCCTGAAAGCTTCTGTTCCCAAATTGTCTATCAAACTGCTTTTCGAGAACATATGAAGTAAAATACACTGCTCAAAAAAATTAAAGGAACACTTTGAAAACACATCAGATCTCAATGGGGAAAAATAGCATGCTGGATATATATACTGATATGGACTGGGTAATGTGTTAGGAATCTAAGAATGCCCCATTGTTTGATGGAAATGAAAATCAACCTACAGAGGGCTGAATTCAAAGACACCCCGAAAATCAAAGTGAAAAAAATGATGCAGCACGCTAGTCCATTTTGCTGAAATTTCATTGCAGCAACTCAAAAGGGTACTCAGTAGTTTGTATGGCCCCCCCACGTGCCTGTATGCATGCATGACAACGTCGGGGCATGCTCCTAATGAGACGACAGATGGTGTCCTGGGGTATTTCCTCCCAGATGTGGGCCAGGGCATCACTGAGCTCCTGGACAGTCCGAGGTGCAACCTGGCGGAGTCGGATGGACTGAAACATGATATTCCAGAGGTGTTCTATTGAATTTAGATCAAGCAAGCATGGGGCCATTCAATGGTATCAAATTACTTTGTCCTCCATACTCTCGCCACAGGAGACTGGGCATTGTCATGCACCAGGAGGAACACAGGACCCACTGCACCAGCATAGGGTCTGACAATGGGTCCAAGAATTTCATACCGATACCTAATGGCAGTCAGGGTGCCATTGTCTAGACTGTAGAGGTCTGTGCGTCCCTCCATGGATATGTCTCCCCAGATCATCACTGACCCACCACCAAAATGGTCATGCTGAACGATGTTACAGGCAGCATAACATTCTCCATGGTTTTCCCAGACACTTTCCCATCTGTCACGTGTGCTCAGGGTGAACCTGCTCATCTGTGAAAAGCACAGGGCGCCAGTGGTGGACCTGCCAATTCTGGTGTTCAATGGCGAATGCCAATCAAGCTCTATAGTGCCTGTTTCTGATTGTTTGGTCAGAGACATTCACATCAGTGGCCTGCTGGAGGTCATTTTGTAGGGCGCTGGCAGTGCTCATCCTGTTCCTCCTTGCAAAAAGGAGCAGATACTGGTCCTACTGATGGGTTAAGGACCTTCTAAAGCCCTGTCCAACTCTCCTAGAGTAACTGCCTGTCTCCTGGAATCTCCTCCATGCTCTTGAGACTGTGCTGGGAGACACAGAAAACTTTTTAGCAATGACACGTATTGATATGCCATCCTGGAGGAGTTGGACTGCCTGTGCAACTTCTGCAGGGTCCAGGTATTTCCTCATGCTATCAGTAGTGACACTGACCCTAACCAAATACAAAACTAGTGAAAAACCGTAGAAAAGATGAGTAGGGAAAAAAATGTCAGTGGCCCCCACCTGTAAAACCATTCCTGTTTTGGTGGAGGTCGTCTCTTTGTTGCCCACCTAGTGCCCCTGTTAATGTAATTAACACTAAAGCAGCTGAAAATGATTAACAACCCCCTCTGCTACTTAACTGACCAGATCATTATCCCAGGAGTTTAACTGACTTGATGCTATACTCTGATTAAAAAGTGTTCCTTTAATTTTTTTGAGCTGT